ATAAAAATCATTATTTTCCTAAAAATTTCCCAACCTCCAGACTTGCCTGGAACAGCCAGGGGAGGCAGTTTCCTGTGCTGGAATTCCTGGGTAGTTTAGCGATTTCACAAGCCCACCGCAAGGAGGTTTGGAACTGGGGTCAGTTCAACTAAGACTCTTGAGCCAGCCTGGGAAGACCCCCAGGTCAGGCAGGGAGGGAGGCTGCAGAGCACGGGTGTCCCCCCGGAGCTGATGGGTTTGTGGGCTGTTCCCTCAGTCCTTGGATCCCACATGAAATTAGCATGTAGCCTGCTGACAGGGATACCAGTGAGCCCCAGGAGCCACCCAGCAGCCCTGCTGTGCCCGGGGACAGACGCGCTTAGCCATGCTTTGAGAGAGGACAGGAGAAGGTGTGACTGAGCTGTTCCGTCACTGTGTCATGCCCTGTGACAGCCAACAGCACGAACTGATTTCATCTTGAAATCCCTCCCCAGCTGCACCTGCTGTCCCAGCAGTGGGCAGCCTCTGGATGGCCCATGTCCCCTGAGATGCCATCGGTCATGTCCCTGTCTACAGGTTTCCCTGCAGGGCCGGGGCCCTTTTCTGATTCCTGCACAACCGTGTAACAGACGGGGGTCTGTAGTTCCTGAACCCACTAAAACTGTCATCCAAGTCCTGTTGTGTAAGTGTGTTAGGGAAGAGAGCACGAGTGTGTAGATATTCATGCCAGGAGGTCCAGAATTCTGCCATCAGCAATGATTGCCTACAGGGCAGAGACCCAGACGTCACCTGCGTCACAGCAACTGAACAGCTCGGCTCTCAGGCACCCTCGGGTGCTGTGGGACGAGGCAGGTTCATTCCCGCTCTGCCCTGGGCTGGGATGAGCACCCATCACCTCTTGCCCACACACGTCTGGCCCCATCCCCCGCCCCGCACAGCTGTTTGCCTGCCCACGGCTGGACCAGGTCCCCACCGCGAGGACAGGAAGTGCTCCCACATCCGCTGCAGCCCGCACAGCCTGGTGCTTTTACAAACCTGACTGTGGTCACTGAGCCCAGTAACCAGAGAGAATGTTTAAAAAGACTCACAAACATATCATTGAAATCTCAGTGTTGGGTTTTGCGGAAGGCACTGGGCGGCTCCCACCCCTGCCTTCTGGAAACACAGATTTCTGGAGTTTAAAAGGGACGGGAGGCTAAAGTGAGACTGCCCTAAATGTAGCGTCCCGGGCATTTCCGGGCACCTGGGGCAATGTGGGCTTCATTCCTTTGTTTGACTGGCAGGTCAGCCCCCGCCACAGGGCCCTGCCGCCCATCTCACCTCCAGCCTGGCCTCTACCCTCGCCTCCGCAGTGTCTTCCTATTCCCCTCCACCCACGCCGCCCCCTGCTGCCCCCAACCCCTGTGCTCCCCACTGGCCAGAGGCACAGCCCAGGCTCCTGGCCGGGGATTCGCACCCTCAGCAGGCAGGCCGCAGCCGAGCTCACGCGCAGTCCCCAACATTGCTGACCTGTGGGCGCCTCCACACCTGTGCATGCGAGGTCCCCTCTCCCTAGAGCGCCCTCTCTGCCACCTCGCCACCTACCAGGACCCCATCCCACCCTTTAAGGCCAGTTCAGATGCCACCTGCTCACATCCCACCACCCAGTGGGACCCTCGACCTCCCTAGCACCTGACGGGGCCACTCCGGGAGCTGTCACTCCTGCCCTGATTTTTCTTGCTCCTTTCCACATTTCCCTCCTTCTTCCTGCACCTTGTTCCAGAAAGGAAACGTGGGTCCCCTGCCCTCTGCTGTCTTCTGGTGCTTGCCCTGCCCTCAGGCCCCTCCGCTCTGACCCTCTGCCCTGGCTGGCCGGCCCCTGCAGGGCCCATCTCCCTGACACCGTGGCAGATTCACACTCGGGCCTCAGCCCAGCTCAGCTGTCAGCCCTGAGCCCTCCCGGCTGCACCTCTCATCCCGGCAGTGGGCAGCCTCTGGATGGCCCGTGTCCCCTGACATGCCGTCGGTTGTGTCCCTGACTACCAGGTTTCCCCGCAGGTTCAGGGCTTTTTTCTGCCTTGGGTCCAATGTCCATCTTCTCTTTAGCTGGAAGCTCCCTGCTCTGTCTCATCTGTGGGTCCCAGCACCAGCCAGGGCCGAGAAGGGGCGCAATGGGAGTTTGGGGTGTGGAGCCTGGGGCCTGTTGAGCACAGCCAGGTGCAGGGCTCAGGGTGTGCCTGGTTGCAACAGCCCCTCAGCCCTGCCCACGCCACGGGGCCAAGCCTGGAACACACGTTTGAAGAGGACGAAGCCAGCCCCACCCAGGCCTCCTGGGTCCCCCTGCACCTTGAGCAGTGGGCAGCTGGGGACAGCGGCTCACACCAGCTCTGCCCACTCCAGAGCCCGAGCCATTCCAAGTGCCAGCCCAGCTCTGCTTTGTCTTCTAGTGGAGCGAGACCGTGCCCTGGGCCACCAGGAGCCCCACTGGAAGGAGTTCCACTTTGACCTGACCCAGATCCCAGCTGGGGAGGCAGTAACAGCCGCGGAGTTCCGGATTTACAAGGTGCCCAGCACCCACCTGCTCAACAGCACCCTCCACGTCAGCATGTTCCAGGTGGTCCAGGAGCAGTTCAACAGGTGCCTTCCCCTTGGCCTGGGTGCTCCCCACCCAACCCGCCTCATAGTCTCATGGTCAAGGCAGCCCAGCAGGGAGTGGGGGTGAGTGGAGCCTTTCCCAGAGGACCCAAAAGAGAACCTCAAAGACAGGAGAGGTGCTTGGCCCAGGGCCCCTGCACTGTGGGAAGAGCCCCAGTGTTGGAAATAGATGCTCGGTGCCACAAAGAAAAATTAGCACTGAGACAAAGGATATTTCAGCAACACAATTTTTCCTTCCTGGCCTGCAGGAAGGGCACTCTCACTGGCCATCTTGCCGCGAGAGTGCAGTGAACAATGGAAAACACGCAAATGTATCCCTTATGCATTTGGGGTCGTCCTTACTGCTGTGTCTAATCTGTTGGCTGGAGCCTGACCTCACAATCTAAACTTAACACTTATTAGCACACTTATTCTTTAACAAGAAAGGAAACTTTAAAAAGGAAATTTTCTACTTCCCACACCCAGTGACAGTCCTGCCTTCAGATCCCTGTCCTGCCATCCTGGCTGTGGGGACTTGGACAGGTCACTGAGCCTCAGTTTCCCCATGTGTACACCTCTGCTGAGACAGTGAGATGAGGCTCAGAAGGGGCACGGACCAGAGCCAGGTGGGAGACACTCCTGTGACAGCCCCCAGGCGGGCCCTGCAGACACGGAGGCAGCTGTGCCGGCCGCCAGTTAATTGTTCTTTCATGTCCACAGGGAATCTGACTTGTTCTTTTTGGATCTTCAGACACTTGGAGCTGGGGATGAGGGCTGGCTGGCACTGGACATCACAGCAGCCAGTGACCACTGGTTGCTGAAGCGTCACAAGGACCTGGGACTCCGCCTCTATGTGGAGACTGAGGATGGTGAGGCTGGGGGCTCTGCGGGAGCAGCTCCTGGGGCTCCTGTGTGCCAACACAGGCAGTGGTAGTGACCTCCTGTGGCCATGGGTGCCCGGCCTCACCAGCTGTGCCTGCTGCGAGGGTCAATGAGGTTCAGGGCTTGAGGTCTGGCCTGGCGTGAGTGCTCCCTCCTCTCCTTCTGCTTCCTGGGAAGTGGGTGGTTCTTCCCACGGAGCAGCCTCCACCTTGGGAGTTTCTGTCCTGGGAAGGAAAGGAGGGGAAGTGGCTGTATCCTCAGGTGCTGAGGCCAGGAGGCTGGGTTTGAAGCCCAGCCCAACGGTGCCCTGCCTCAGTGACCTTGGCCAGGACTTACCTTTCCAGACCCTGTCTTCTCTTCTACAGGATGGGGATTCATGCCCTTGTTCACTCCACAGGTGATACTGAGGAGAGCCTCCTTTATACCAGGCAGTGGGAATATGAAGGCCAAAGTGGGCATGAGATGGGCGTGTTTGAGGTGCGGCAAGGGGAAGCACACGGCAAGGGGCTGCCATGGAGCAGCGGCGAGGACGGGTTTCCAGAGGCCATTCTGAGTCAGTGTAAAGCAGGGCCAGGGGCTGGGGTTCTTAGCATGATAGCAGTGGAAGACAACAGGACCTGATTCAGGTTTTTGTTTTGTTTTGAGATGGAGTCTCACTCTGTCACCAGTCTGGAGTGCAGTGGCACAATCTCAGCTCACTGCAACCTCTTTCCCGGGTTCAAGCAATTCTCCTGCCTCAGCCTCCTGAGAAGCTGGGACTATGAGTGCGCACTATCAAGCCCAGCTAATTTTTGTATTTTTAGTAGAGATGGGGTTTCACCATATTGGCCAGGATGGTCTCGATCTCGACTTGGTGATTCGCCCACCTCAGCCTCCTAAAGTGTTGGCATTACTTGCCCAGCCTGATTCAGGTTTTAAAAGATAATCCTCTGAGATGCCCCCTCTCTCAGGATGGAGCCGAGCTCCCCACCCCTTCCGTGGGCTGCGCTCAGTGACTTGTTTCTCGTCCTAAGTGCGGTGTGGACAGGGCGTGGGGGATCTGATGCGCAGCACCTCGGCCAGGTGAGGAAGGCTCACTGCAGTGACCAGCATGGCACTAGCATGTACCCTGGGTATAAGGCAAGGAGAAGGCCCCTTCCCTGAACCCGAAACCCCAGTCCAGCCACGAGCAAACCATCAAGCCCGAAGAGAAGGGCTTTTGCAGAATACCCGACAAGCGCTTCTCAAAACCACCAAGCTCATCAAAAAAAAGGGAAGGTCGGAAAATTGGAGGAGCCCAGAGGCACCTAAGGAGACCTGCTTAGTGCATGTGGGGTCCTGGGTGGGGTCCTGGACCAGGGAAAGGGCCTTAGGGAAATGTTATGAAATCCAGATCAATCACAGTATTTACTTAATAAGATATCAGTATTGGTTGTTAGTTATGAGAAAGGTACCCCACTAGTGTAAAATATTAACATTTCCCAGGGCAGCTGGGTCCAGGTGTATGGGAACTCCCTGTGCTGTTGTTTTCCTCTTTGAGACAGGGTGTGGCTCCGTTGCTCAGGCTGGAGTGCCGTGGCGCGATCACAGCTCACTGTAACCTCCAACCCCTGGGCTCGAGCGATCCTCCCACCTCAGCCTCTATACTATCTTTGCAAATTTTTATGTAATATCAACTCTTGTAAAATAAAACTTTACTGAATATATGCATAAAATAAAGAACCCCCTACTTCAGTGGGGAAGAGTAGACTGAGCTGGATGAGAGTGAAGTCAAAGAGGCCCGTGGGGGCCCCACAGTGGTCCAGGTGGGCGCTGCGAGCGGCTTGTGGTAGCAGTGGAGGTGGAGGAAGGTGGGTTGATTTCAGCGTCAGGACGTGGTTATAGCTGGCGAGGAGGTGAAGGAAAGGGAGGAAGCCTGAATGATGCGTGGATGGAACCAGTGCATTGTTTCTAATAGATTTTTCTTTTTGGCCTGCACTGGGGAAAGATAGATGAAGGGCAGGTTTGAGGTGGGTGGTCAAGGGTCTCTTTTGGCTGGAATATTATTGTGCCCCCTGGGATGTTACTGAGATCCCTGGTCCTCATGGAAATGCCACTCCAGGGAGAGATGAGCGTGAAGACCCAGGTGTGGGAAGTGCTGGCATGTAAGTGGATTTAAAGCATGGGGCGGGACCAGGTCCCCTAGGGAAGGAAGGCCGTGATGGAGAAGAGAGGGGGCCTGGCCCAGAGCCCTGGGGCCTCCACCACCCAGAGAGCTCTCAAGAAGGGGCCACAGTGAGCCCAGAGGGACCAGCCAGGGAGGGGGCAGAACGCCTGGAGGGTGAGGTGACCTAGACGCCAGATTAAAGTGTTTCCAGAAGCAAGCGTTTGTCATTTGTGTCCTGCCGTGGGCACTGAAGGCAAGGACAGAAGTGACCGAGGGTCTTGCCACACAGAGGTTGATGACCCAAATCTCCGGGGAGTGTGGGTCTGACTGGGAGGTGGAGGGAGACAGGCAGTGGGGGCAGGAGACAGTGCTTTCCAGAACCTTTGCTGGGGAAGGGGAGCAGAGACAGGGGCTGGGGCTGGAGAGAACCAGGGACAAGACAGGCCCTTTACAGGTGAGGAGACGCCTGCCCACTGCTGTGGCGATGGAATGATTCTGAGCAGAGGGAAGAAAACTGCAAAATTCTGCACAAGTTGGATCTAGGAGCTGGAGC